GAATCTTGGTTCTATTCTATTCTTGGTTCTGGAGGGGAGAGTGTTCTAGTGCATGGGTTCCCAAACTGTGGTACGTGTACCACTGGTCATATGTGAGTATATTGGAAGTGACCCTCTACAACAGGCTGGTCTGTTCCCTTTAAGGTGTAATTGGGTTTGGGCCAACAAACCCACCACTGTTCCATGACGTGGCCCCTTTTAAGGAAACAGGTATTCAAGGGAGTAGCAAACTAGTTGGGCAGTGGGGTCAGATGTTAATCATGTATTTACCTCCATAACATGATAAAACTCAGGTGCTGGGTGACTCCAAGAGTCACAGGGCAGACAGCCTGGAGAAGAGAAGGAGAGCATCAATTCAGATCAGGGGTTCTCTGGCTTGGAAACCAGAAGGGAGACTGGTGGGCTGGGGAAGCCTGCCTGAATCACAGCACAACCCAAGGAGGGCTGTGAGGCCCCAGAACCAAGGGAAAGAAGTACATGAGTTCAAGGACCAAGGGAGGCTGTGTGGAATGGGATTGGAATCTGGATACTGGTGGGGTGGGGAAGTATACTTGAATCACAGCACGGCCCCATAAAGGAGGGCTGTGGAATCCCTCAACCAAGAGAAAGGAGTTGTGAATTTGAGGACCAGGGTACTCGAGTTATTTACTAATTGTAGACAGAGCTGCTCTCCCTGGTACTGCTGGTCTCTTTTGCACTCTCCTTTTTCTCTTTAGTTTTATCTCAGTTCCTTGACTAGATTCTTCTCAGACTTTCTCATGTCCATATTAAACTTTCCTCCCTTGCCACCATGTCAAGGCCCCCTACTGTTGTTGTTACTGTAGCATCCTCCTTTTCTAACTGTCAAGGAACTTTCTTACAATATTTCATCCTTTCTCCTCTATCTAGGACATCACCCAAATCATTCCAGTTTCCGCTTTAATAATAATAGAAAAAAAATCATCCCATATATATTACTTTATACTTCGCATATTATTTGGATGGGAAGAGAGAGTAGGTTCTTTCTAGGCTGTTGTCATTCTGTAAATCTAACTTGTAGGCATGGCACATATCATGTGATACCAGAACTCAAGGCCCAGAATCCCCTCTTCTCTTGCAGTCCCTCTTAATTAATTAATTACCATATTTTCCGGCGTATAAGGCGACCTTGTAACCCAGGAAAATCTTCTAAAAAATCGGGGGTAGTCTTATACGCTGGGTGCTGAAACTTCCGAGCCGGACTGGAGAATCTGCGGTCACCGCATATGGTGGGGGGAGCTCAAAAGCCCCCACCCCGCAACTGGATCTGTGCTTAGCATGCGTCCCAGCTAGATTTGGCAAAGAGCTTCT